TTTTTAGGTTGCTTCTAATTTTGGATTGTCCCATCTATATGTATACATATGGGGTTTATTATAAAATTTTTTTGTAACAAAATCGTTGATACTCGTATAATAAATGATAAATCCCCATTTTGTTTTGCAGGATAACACTGACTTAAAAAAAGAAGGCTCTTTAACTTCCCAAAAAAATTTCCTGTGCGATGTAAGAGGATACGATTTCGTCGACGAATTTGTTCCACTATACTTCAAGGCATTCGATTCAAATGAGCGTCAATCTTTGAAAGGTAGCATAAATGATTCTAATTTAAATACATTCATTACTATTGCTCAAATTTTTTCAGAACTTTACCAGCGCAATGCAATGCTTACAGTTTCCTTTAATTATCATATTGCCCAAATGACGTCGCAAAATTTTCGACGCATATCCAAGTATCGTGAAAATAGTAGAAATATTTTAAAAATGTCAGATCTCTCTCGGGCCCACACAACTATACATCTGGGCTCTGACCAAATTATGCAAACCTTTTTGCAACTGCCCAGTATACGACACGATTTGTTGACTTTTAGCACAGATACAACGATTTACAATGTATGTATTGCTTGTTCTTATAATCATTACATCTTAACATTAAACACAATTCTACTGATAGGACAAAATTATAGTGATAACAATCAGCGGCGTCTTTTACGATCAAGCACCAAGCATGATGGATAATGACATATTAATGGCATTCACGCGCAGTTTTGTACTCACACCGGTAGAAAAGCACCAAGTATGTTAAAATAGTCACAACATAATCTGAAGATGCACGTTTCTTATCATTATCATTATCTTTTTCTTTTAACAGGGGATTCTCGGCAGAGCTATAAAGTACCAAATTTGTAATGAACAACTTAGTATATACAACCCAACGGCCCAGCAAACTAAAAAGGCATTCAAGTATTTTAAAACAGAGGGGCAGAACAATGACGACGAAGTAACTGTAGCCGATAAAGAAGCTCTCATTATAATGTTTCAAGAAGTAACAAACCTCAAATGGGTATGGTGTACGCGGTAAGGGAGATTTAATCTAATATTCAAACAATTGCAACGTATGAATTTACTAAATATTAACTTTTATTAGTTTCTTAGATGACGCAAAATGGGACATCAAAAAATCACTTCTGCTTTTTTTAAGTTTTTGTGAGAAAAAACGGATACCTGATACGGCCTTCAATTAACCTAAATAATACCTAAAAATAAATCTCTAAAATAGTTTTCATTTACTTAAAACGAATAGCGGATATTTTGCTTAAATCACTCTTAGTTGCTTCTGAGT